CTTTTATGACATTTTCAACAACAAAAAACAATAATAATATTTTTATAAATACATATTTATTTTATGACACTTACTATAATTTTTTTTTAGGTTGCAGTGGGAATATAAAATTTATAATTTAGGGTTGCATAGTTTAAACCCATTAAATTTTATGAGTTGAACTATTATCTTTTTTTTTTTTTAATGTTGGCTTCGAGTCACTGGATGGACAATAGACATGTTAAGTTGTCATGTAGTCAGCTCGTGATTTAATAACTTCTTAGGTGCCTAAATTCACTGAAACTGAAAGTCTTTCCTGTCCCTTAATTCTAAAGAAAATTAAAATAAAAAAGGCTTTTTGATCCATCAAATTTAGAAACCAATGTTTGTGGAATTCTCTCTTAGAATGCAAGTAATTTGTGCCACTTTACACAATTCAATAACCTATAGTTTTCAAAGAAGGAACAATTTGTTGATTTATAAAATAAAAAAGTTAGACCTACGTGCGAATATATCACATCAACTAGACCTTTCTATCAGAGACATTATTGGTTGGTACAAATGGATGATCATCTAAATTTATTTTAACATATACATTGCGAAAATTGTAATTATGAAAGGGGAAAAATTAAAACAAATGTAATTAGACCAGTGACTCGAGAAAATAAGGATCGGTTATTTGTAACGTTCTCGTTTCTAGTTTCTGTTTTCTCAAAATAGAATTGCATGACCTCTAAAATCCATGAATTCAATATAATGATAAAACACTATTTTTATATATGTAAACGGAAAAAAAATACAAGGAACTTGTTTTTGTTACTTCCAAAATTTCTATATAATTATAAAGAAAATGAAAAAGAAGAAATTTAGATCGTGAAATATTTAAGATGCATAATAAAAATGAAAATGAGAAACAACATACTTGAATTTTACCAAATGAGATACCATAATCGTATTTGGTTCACAAAGGGCTGATGTCTAACTTTCATAAATCTCAAATCCACAAATAAATCACTAGCTACACACATCTAAATTTCTTTTCGTTTTTTAAATATAATTTAAGCTCTATTTGATCATAGCGATTTTGTTTTATGGTTTCCAACAAAATCTAAACAAATAATTTGGAGGGAAAAAGATAATTTTTAAAAATTTGTTTTTTTTGAACTTTGCTAAGAATTCACATTTGTTTTAAAAAATGGTAAAAGATATGTGATCACCAGAGTGTTCATGAGTTGGATTTAGGTCGAGTTATGAAAATTTTTTGGACCAACTTGAATTTTTGAGTTGGCCATATATGAGAAGTGAGCCACCTGAATCCAATGGTCTACCCAACTCAACCCAAAAATTTCGGGTTGAGTTGAGTTGGGTTGTCGGTTGCATTATTTTATTTTTATTTTTATTTTTTTTTACAAACTTAGGATTGAAAAAATTACATAATTTTGTTTAATTTCTTTTTTTCTCCTCCCTCCCCTCTACGGGTGATGACCAGCAACGGACGGATCTTCACGGCAGCGATGGGGGACTGCTGCTACGGGCAGATCTGCTACGAGTGACGAGCAGGCGGCAACGAGGGACTGCTGCTTCCGGCAGATATACTACAATGAAGCTGATTCAAGAGGAAGAGAAATAAGAAAATCGAAGATTTGAGAGGGAACAAAATGGAGAAAAGACATGGGTGAGATACAAAATGGAAGAAAATGAAACTCCTAACATTGAAATTAAATGAAGAGCTAGGATTAAAAGTAAAGGAAAGTCTGAAATTAAGAGTAGAGATATTATTATATATATTTATAATTGAAAAAAATAATGATATATATATAATATAATTTTGAGTTGGGTCGGATCGACTCGATTTTTTAGAAGCGAACGTGTGGCTCGACCCAAATCTATATATATATTATAATTTCAGGTCGAGTCGGGTTGACTCGATTTTTTAGAAGTGAACCCACGACCCGACCACTCAGTTCGGAAAAACTACAGCCCAACCCAAGATTTTATCTAACCCAATCAAACTCTTACGGGTTGGATTGGGTTTGTCAGTTTTTTTAACCCTTAATCACCGTTCAGAAGAAATATGAGAGAGAACTAAACAAATAGTTATCAACTTTTTAATAATAATTACTGATGGATCATTGGTATAAGTATTATTCTTCTTTTAGAAGTATAAAACAAAAAAACGAAATTGTTATCAAACAGTTAGAAATGTAATTTATTGGTCAGCAAAACGTGGGGTGGGCCCTTGGATGGATGGATGGTGTCGGCCTAAGTAGCACCACAATCCAATAATGTCGGGCAATCGTTCAATTAGCATACCATTTCCCTGCCCCCTAGGTTACTTTACATCTTTTTTCTCTTTTATTGGACTTTTTTTATCTTTAATATTACTTTTTTTATCTTATTATTTCGATATAGTAGTTTTAATGAGATGAAAACGAAATCGTCTCTCGAAGAAATGATTTCGCATGTATTATCAACTTTTGACAAAAGATGACTTTGCCATGACGCAGTAGATACGCAAGAGACAGTTTTGAGGAAATCATATTTTGGAGATTTAAATGTTCGATTTTGACACATGAGAAATTAGTGAATGAAAGAGTGAGAAATTCGAAAAGGCGGGAGAGGAACAGAGAGAAAATTGTTGATTCGAAGTGGGAGAGGATGATTAATGAGATATATATTCTCTCCGTGGTATTTTCTACCTCTTCAAATTCACTTAGGCAAAGTGTCTTTGATCTTATAAATTAAATCGATAAGTTCGAGATGATTTCACATAAGATGAAGTGAAATTCATTTCTTCATGGGACGATTATGTTTTCCCAATATTGAAATAATAAGTCTCAGAAAGAAATATGTATTAAAAATAAGTTCTAAAAAGTAATATTTAAAAGAAAAAATGGTCCCATCTATATGTTACAGAATTAGAAAATACTAAATTTCGTTATTTGATATTTAATAACTAAACTTTATTCACTTTTTTAAGAATAACGAATTATACTAAATTAGTCTTAAAGAAGGATAAAAATTTTATAAAAAAAAAAGAAGGATAAAAAAATAGCCTTAAAGAATATGTCTCATTTAAAAAGTGCACGATAGAATTTTAGATTTTCAATATAGTGTTTAATTGGTCTTTGAATTCGTTCATTCATAGGTCCTTGTATTTCTAAGTTTTTGTCGATATTTTTTTAAATCTAAAGATATATTAGACAGAAAATTGAAAATTCAGAAGAACTATTAAATAAAATTGTACCTAACATATTCCTTATTTTTTTTAAATGTCAAATAAACTAGAGATCTAAGACTAAGACACAAAATTAGAAAATTAGGGTCTTATTAAAGTTTATGAGTCTATTATATTCAACACAACTCTAAAATTTCGAAGACTAAACTTGGTTATTTAACCTAAGAAAGAATGATCATTTTCATTAATCTGAACATAACAAAATTAGTACATACATCAAGAATACCTTTATAGCTATCTGAGATTCGAATCCTTACCTTTATGTTTAAATTTCAATACTAAAAAATATATAAGTTCAAATATATATATATATATATTTTTTTTGTCTCCTATCTAAACATTACAATTATTTTAATACACAGATAATTAAAAAAAAAAGTTTAGATTTTTATTTAAAATTAGAAGAAGATGATTGAAAAGGGATGCAAGATCCTCAGCTTGAAAAAGTTGGTTGGGAAGTAAACAAGGTCAATAAAGGTGTATACAAAATGGGGAAGTGCTCTTTTCAAAATAAAACAACTTCAAACTTTATCTAAGGTCATGGGGGAAAATAAAATTTATTTGAACAAAATTTTATTCATATTTGTACTAATATATAGAGTTGGTGAAATATGTAGAATTGTTTACTTCAAACAATAAAATTACCGATGAGACTTGTGACAAAAAGAATCTCTCCGTTCCTCTCTCCTATGTCAACGGTCAAGAATTTAATGGTGGACAGTATGAATCAAGTAAAAATTTCTCTGTTTATTTATTTTTCATATGCTTGGATTCGTAGAAATTGTTATGTTTAATATCAAGTTGATTTAAACATCAATATTTTCAAAAGAAAAAACCAAAACAAATGAAGTTCAAAATGTAAAAGGGTCCATCCAATTTTTTTTTCCTCTCTTCAAAGAAAAAGGTCTCAATATAGGGCCAGCTGAGTGACTTGACTGAATGAATGACCATTTTTCTAAAAAAAAAAATAAAGAAATGTTTTCTGTAATAAATGAAAATATTATTTACCTCATTCATTTGAAATTTGGGCACCATAGCTTTGACTAATCATGTATCTGTGTTCAAATTTTAAACATTGAAGCCTTAAAAGGGGGGAAAATCAATAGTGTATGGGAAAGGTCAAGAGCTTGAATCTAAAGATTCAAATGGTCTACTTTTCACAATTTTCAAAATGTGATTTTAACAACAAACATTAATGAATATGGTGTGTCCTCTCTGAATACTTTCTTTAGTTTTCCATGTTTCAAAATAAACTATAGTTTATCACTCTAAGGATAAAGACGAACCATTCAAAGATAAAAGCTTCCGATTCTAGAATTCTATATGAATCTTTTCATTCTATGTTGACAGAACGAGTAAATAATGAGATTGTAAAATGAAACTCGTTCAACCAAGGCAACAATCTCTTCCTATACAGTCGATTCCTATGGGGTGACCTAGGTGGGTTTGGAACATTCGAGATAATTTACCCTTGCTACATATAGTCTCCACCCAACAGACGTAACGCAATAAGAAAATATATATAATAAGATAAGAACTTCTAATAGGAATAATAATGAATTATATTATATAGTCAACATTCATACAAGAAAAGCATTCAACTTCAATTTTGGAGATCCAGATTTCGATTCTTCCCCTTGTTCCTTTTATCTTGAGATGCCAGCACCGAAAGAAAACTTAATAATTTAAAACCTTTATTGTCTCTCAGAGTTGTTAGGTAGAGATTTCCTGAAGATTAGTGAGAGTAGGACGTGAACATAATGCCAAGGTTAAGGCCCTAACCTTTTGTAAAGTTTAAGGTATCGATATCGTTAATAAGCATCTTTCATGAAACAACAGCTCCATACTAAAAAAAGTTGACAGTTTCAAGTCCATACATCTGAATTGGGCAAAAGAAACTATCATATAATAAACTAAATACAATCAATAATGCCTCTGTGATTAAAACTGAGGGGCTTTATAATCACAACTATAAAGTGGAGTGTATATATGACATTGGTGGCACCAAAATTGCACACTAACAGACTTTTATTAATTTAATCAATAATCACTAACTTGTCATAGAATCAACTCAACTGAGTTTTTTGAGGGGTTTTGTCAGATGCAAGGTTTTGGTTGTGTTGGTTTTTGTCAGTTTGAAGGGTAGAGGTGGTAACTTTACCTGCCTCAGCCTTTTCAAACAAAGCCTGTTGCTGCATGACTTTAACCATGTCCTTCATTTTTCTCTCTTCTCCTTCAAGCTGCATTTTCATTAGTGCCTCTGCTTCTTTGTCAATTGGCTTGAAGTACTCTTCAATGGCAGACTCCTGCACATACATTCTCAGCTCAGTTTTCTTAAAGTCCAAATTAAGATACTGTTACTTTAGGGATTGGGGGAAAACTTTAGTTGTATTTATTGAAAGTTTTATATAGAGGCCGTTGTATAGTTGCTAAAGAAAAAGAAGATAAAAAGGTCGACAGCCTTTCGAGAGACGAGAGCTATCTCACTCATCCACAATTCTTTACCGATGTCTCCCTCTCTTGTGCCCATATTCAAACTTATTTCTAAGGGCTGGCCTCTTAGAACTCTCCCATTGACAAACTCTATCACACCATATGATTACCCGTATACTAATCTTCTTTTTTAATATCTGACTATCCATGAATGTCAAAGTCAGCTTGTGTGTATCTTAGCTAATCTCACGAGGCAACCGCCAAACCCTATTGTGTAAAATTTTAAATCCTAAGTAGGTGGCCATTATGGTTCAAACTATTCCCTCTTAGCCCTTTTACTTCTTTTCATTGGCCCATTGACCACTAAGTCAATCCTTACTGACCAAAACTAGAAATAACTTAAAAGTGAGCACTCAAATTCAGTTGACAACGTTAATCCCCATATCAATAGAAAGCAAAGATAGAATCTCCCAATCTGAATTTCTTCCATATTTAGAAAATTAAAATCCTTCTTTTTTCTAATTGCATGTGAAGCTACAGATAACAGCAAGATGAAAAATGTTTGGACCATATTGTGGTAAAAGACAACTCAATAAGGATAACCAATCTCGAAGAATAATACCAAAGCCAAAACATGAAGGGACATGTAAAGCCAAAGAGGCAGGTAACCTTGGACATAAACAAACAAGCATCTGGTCTTAATTCAATCTTGCAAGGCAGATATGGATTTTTTTTCTTTTTTTCTATTTTATTTTAGGGGGAATGGTGTTTGAAAATCAGTAAATAAGCATCTCAGCGACAAAATAGAACTTACTGTTTCCTCTAACTTTTTATTAAGAGTTTGCATCTCCTCCACCATACGGCGAACTTCTCCTAAGATGGCCTGCTCAGGTATCTTTCTCATGGCAGCTTTTTTTTCCTCTGCCTGGCAAGGGGTAAAGCGACATCGTCATACATAAAAAAATTAGTTTGTAAACAAGTTGAATATCCTTGAACGTCTATCATCATGATGAATGCTCAATATTTTGTTTTTTGGCATAATGCAAGGCATGGACTAAGGTAAAGTGATGCCTTAAATGAAGAGGAATTTCCACACCCAACACACACGAAAAGTTAACCTAATGCTTAAACAGACACCCAAAAAATAAGTCCCTTACAGATGAAAACTTCCATATCCACATTAATAGTTACATGGATAACTAAATTTTGTTCAAAATAACTCAGCAGCTGTTTTCAAATATTTTTGGCACAGTCGAAGACGAAGTAGTCAGATAATTTATATATGTCCTCTGTTGCCCTGTGAAGATTCCAAGAATGCCATGTCAAGTAATCTCATTTTTCTATCCAAACCATACAAGTTAAGTTGTCCCAAAACCTTACCATAAGTAATTTATTCTTGTCCTCTAAACAAAAGATTCAAAATATAACCCCTTGAAACCCAAGTGTAAAACCATTCCTTCCAAATGTGTGTCTGACTCAACTTTCAAGTGGCTTATAATTATGAAGTTGCATTCACAAAGAAACTCATATTCGTGACTTCACTTTAAAGACAAGACAACTTAGCCTAATGACTATGAAACCTTCGACAAGGTTCTACTTTACATAAGTACATTTGCCATACATCAAAGTTTCAAAATAAAATACCAAATTCTTTGACACCCTTTGCCTCGTACTCATATCAGACAGGTTCAAACACAACGATTTCATCAGTGAGAAATGAAATCCTATAAAGGGCACTATAAAAATGGTTCATAAGATGTAAGCTGAAACCATCATACCGAACAAAACCTAAACCCATGGTGATACTGATAATGGTTAAGAAGATACATTTTCTAGTTATCACAGCTGAAATTTAGCTGCCTGAATTTAACTCCTCTCTGGCTCTCCGTTCCCCCAATCATTTGAATACAAAATTCTTCACATAGAGGTATAATATCTCATTTCCCAGCGCAAAGTGACTGAGAAAATCACATTCCCCAATCAATAAGCCAAGATGTAAAGCCAAACCCAGTAGAAGAAATTGCATAATCAGCCACGAAAATGAACAAAATAGAGCCAAAAGATCCAGCCCAAGTACCTGCTTGAGACGCTTCTCGAGCTCCAACCTAAACGATCGAATCCGGCGCTCTTCGTAGCCGGAGAGAACCCTAACGTAGAAGAGGGCCCTTCGTCCAAACTCTAAAAGCTTGTCCATCCGAATCCCTCCAGCTATTCAGCCCACAGATCCCCCTGCAAAGTCAAACAGAAACCGAATCTGTAACTCGGTTGACCCGAAACGAAGGAAAATTCAGAACCCACATGGAAAGTGAATTTCAAAAAACGGCAGATGAATTTGTAAGATACCAGAAGAAGCCATTAATCCATTGGAACGAACACAGTGCTGCGGAGATGATGCTCGATTTCTTTGCCCTTTTTTGGCTGTTGGCTTCGAAACTTATATACGGCTTCACTTCATCAATCTCGGGTCCAAGATGATTTTTGCTGAGTTGCCGTAGACATAATCTTCTGGAGCATTTTTTATTTTCCGTTTGCCCAAAAAAAAATAATAAATAAAAAAAACTAATAAAAAAGGTTTTTTAGTTGGGCTGAAGAATCGAACTGCTTATTGGTCAGATAAGTAAATTTGTTAATTTATTTTATCCTCAAGATTTTGATAAATTTCATTTTTTTACAAATTGGGATATAAAGGGTAGAGCTTATATGTGTTATTATTTCCAGGGATTTTCCATAAATTTATAATAGACCTGAAATGTTTTAATTCTCTCCCTCCACAATTTGACCTTATAAAATATGTTTTGGAGTGATTTTTAATAAAATATGTTTTGGAATGATTTTTCATAATTAAAATGACTTTCAGTTATTAATCTTATAAAATATGTTTTAAGACAAGTTTAGAAGTGATGTTAACATAATTAAAATAACATTTGTATTACCAAAATCACTTCAATTTAAAATAGACCAATCTCTCTTTTCAAAATCTCTAATTCTATCATCACTACCAAATACAACCTTATTCTATCATCTCTCTTTAAAAAAAATCTTCTTTCTTCGGTGAGCAACTAAGTATTATTCAAACTCTAAACAGACTAATCAATAACTTATTTAAACAAGATTAAGAACATTAAAATACGTACAAAACTTGTAGAGATTTAAGCATTGCAATTGCATATAGTCCAAATCGAAATACACATCAGTTAAGTCGGTTACAACCTACAAAGTGCTTCTTTCTGACATTGACATTGAGGTTAACAACCACAGAGAAAGAGATTATGCGCAACCAACTTGCACAGTCGTTGCCATCTTCATTCGGCCACTACTTCAGTCCCTCCTCTTCTTCTTCCTTTCATTCTTCTCCGCAGAGTTCTTCAGCTGCAAATTAGTTGACATAAACCATCATTCAGTATGAAATTTCAACAGAAACTGGCATTTAGAACACAGCTAGCTGATATAGCTCACCATTATAATGAGGATTCTGACGAAAACCGCCACGAAATCAGTAAAGAGAGTCAGTGCATGCTTCACGTAATCCATATCTCCGACGTGTGCCCTCTCAATTATTTCCTGGGTATCAACTACCATGTAGCCCACGAAAACCAACAGTCCAAAGTACAACTACATATGCAACAAACAAATCGGGATTAAGGTCACGCCTGCTTGGATTGGAGACAATTTCCACTTACAAGTCGTCAGAAAAGCTGAAAGAGGAATATGAATACCTCAAACTTGAAAATGGCAGTGGAACCCCCGAATATAGAGGAGGCAAAATGTAGCCAGAGTAACATGGATATGCCTGAAGAAAGTAAGCCACCCAGATAAAGGAATTCTCTTCGTCTGGCCAACATGGCTGCCGCTGAGAAACAACCGAAAGCCACTGCAGTTCCCACAAAAGAACTGACTAGAACACTGGGAAAAAACACAATTTATGAATCAATACAGAAATAAACGAAGCAAAGATTGATTCCCAAAATCCAAAAAACATGAAAAGCATTCGAGGATCAATTGAACAACCACTACCCTTTGCCAATATTTTAATGATGTGCCTAAGTAAATGTGTTCAGATATAACAAGAGCAATTTGAATTTACCTTGGGTCAATCTCGACAGCCAGATTGATCAAAGGACCAATCGAAGCCCCTTCCAGAAGAGCAGCCCCCAATAAAATAGAAATCCTCCTTTTCTGATCACAGATAAATGTGATACAAAACGAAAATACAAATGTTAAGAACATAAAATAGACAAAGAGAGATTGCATAAAGAAACATGGCACTGCACCAGGGAGAAAAGAGGTTATAGAAAACCATACCTCTTCATAAGGAGGAGTGGACATTAGCCATGTAATACATCCGATTGATGCAAGTGTTGTGAGAATACCGCCAATATTCCAAAGAATATGCAGATAAGCTCCAGCAGCAGATGCAACTAAAGCACAACCAAGAGTGAGGTAAACCTACAGATTTGCAGTACTTGGCAAGATTAGTCTCAATTACTAATTACACATATGGGTATATATGAAAAACAACAAAGGAAAGTGAATAATAGAAAAAAAATCCAATGGATTGAGAAAAGTTGCATCTTGATGAAATCTAATTTTATCATTTATTAATATCGATAAATAATGTACATCGGTTCGTGGGCGAGAGAACTGGATGATATAACATAGGGAGGTCTTTTACCAATTCCACCCAAATGGGAAACCTATTCCAATCAAGAACCTCTCCACTCTTACTTTCATACAAATTATTGCATTCTACTCAATAAATCCCCTGTTCTGAGGATCGAAAGCACCCCTACAGTCTCATATTTAGTAATCCATGACTATTTAGAATACTTTCTCCACCCAAAAATAACATTTCTCCTAATCACGTAACGGAAAACAAGATTACGAATCATCCCAGATCCATGACCTAATCAAAACCCTAGAGCAATCTTTGAAGCTAACTCATCAAAATTTTGTCTAACCCATCCGACAATAACCACCACGTCGTGAAAAACATATAATTACGAATCCAAAATCTTAATTAGAGACACCAATTCTGGAAAACCAGATGAAACCTCAATTCACATGTATACAAACAGAAAGAACGAAAGAAACGTTCAGGGCAACTGACCCGCTGGAGATGAGTCTGAACGGCCGGCGAAATCTGCCGGAAATTCTTGAGAGAGTCATAGCTCCACCGGTTTCTGGATCCCGATTGAGAATCGAAGAAAGACGAAAACGCGTCCATGGCGTCGAAGAAATTTCTTAACGAGTACGTCAAACAAACTGAGTACGAATTTATCCACCAAGCACAAGTGCCAGGGATGATATATACATAAAATATAAATGCAGTCGTGTTTCTAGATTATTTGGATTCCCATTTTGCCCCTACTTTTACAAGCTATTTACAAGAGATGGATTTTTTTATATATAATTATATATAAGAATAAAATAAATTTTAAGAAAGTTTCYTCGGTTGACTTCAATGCTTGTCTGATAACATATATTCATCAATCGATTTATTCTTTTCTTTCCGGGAGTTCGACCTTCTATGTCTCTAAATTAACATGTGGCATGTCATTTTACTCATTAAATTTGTATGATGAATAAAGTTTATTTTATGTATTTCAATCGTAAGTTTAGCACGAGGGATGTCATTTTACTCATTAAATTTGTATTAAAATATTTTTATTGTAAATAAAGTATATTTTAATTATTTCAATCATAATTTCATTAAATTTGTATTTAAAATATTTTCATTGTGAACAAAGTTTATGTCAAAATTCTACGAATAGGAATCAAATAAGCTACTTTTTAAAATTATAAGGACAAAAACGAATGTTTTGAAAATACAATAACTAAAATAAATCAAGTTTAAAAATTAAGGACCGAACCATAATTATAAATATATGTACCGAAATAATATTTAAACCTTAGAAGTAAAATTCTATCCACATAGGCATAGCACTTTTAAAAAGGTAAACAATATCTTAAGTAATGTGGAGGCGTTTAGATAGTTATTCTCACAAATCTTTAAAAACAACCGGCTAAATTACCAAAAAGGAAAAAAAACGTGAACTTCTGTTTGAAAGACACCTCTTTTCCTTCAAAAGTGGAGGCTATAGTAGTTTAGATGTTACCTCTAATTTTCATTAATTACCATGTCGTCCTAAATTCTACCCCGTCAACTTTTTGTTTAAAATGTTAATAAATATTTACTCAAAGAGTATTTTTCATTAATTCTCAGAATATTTGATGGAAACTTGGGAAAGAAGAAAATAAAGCATCGAGGAAATCCATCTAAGTTGATCATACTACCATTGAGAATAAAAGAATGCCAATAACATATCAAACGTCAACCCGTCCTTAATTTCTTTTCTATTAAAAAGAAATCCAAATTCTCAACTTCATTGAACCAATTCTTTCATCACGGACAGATTTCTAAACCATCACTGCCTCCTCTAGCATTGGTTTTAGCCTTTCAAATTCAGTAACAAAACAATTTTCCAGTGAACAGTTCTGTTGAGCCACGAGCATCAGAGGAAACAAAGAAACTAAAATCACATTACAGTTTTCACAGGACCAATCACAAGACACAAACTGAAGAAAGTATGGTCTCTGCTTTCACCCAAACAAGCAAGCAGAATCCATCCCAAGTATGTGAACTACAGAGAACATTACAAGAAAAAACTCTATTACAATTTACAAGATGTACCGGGCACGGGTCCACAGTTACTCGTTCGGGGTGGGTGCGTGTGTTTGATGAGTTCAGTCCCTCCTCTTCTTCTTCCTCTCGTTCTTCTCTGTGGAGTTCTTTAGCTGGACATCAGTAAAAGAGTTATCATTTAGTATAATAATTTCCATTGATTTGAGTAAGTAGAAAAAGGCATTTAGCAGTAGCACCAAAGATGCTCACCATGATAACGAGAATTCGAACGAAAACACCAATGAAATCAGTGAATAGAGTCAGCGCGTGCTTCACATAGTCCATATCGCCAAGATGTGCCCTCTCAATGATTTCCTGGGTATCAACTACCATGTAGCCAACAAAGAGCAAAAGCCCAAAGTACAACTACAAATGGTACAAACAAAACAAGGTTGAGGTAAAGCTCAGGCCTGCCAAAACTTGATGTCTAATTCCATTTTCAGAATAATAAAGAAGTTGAAATAGGAATATAAATACCTCAAACTTGAAAAGGGCAGTAGAACCACCGAATATAGAGGAAGCGAAATGTAACCACAGTAACATGGATATGCCAGAAGAAAGTAAGCCACCCAAATAAAGGAATTCTCTGCGTCTTGCTAACATGGCTGCTGCTGAGAAACAACCGAAGGCCACTGCAGTTCCCACGAAAGAACTGACCAGGACACTGGGAATGAAAGAATTCATAAATCAATATAACAACAATTCAAGCCAATTACAGAGACCGACCAAGAATAAGATAATCAAATCACGAAACTACGGCCGGCAGAATAAGGAATATTCATTACTCCAAAAGAAAAAAATAAATCAGAGTGATAACTACATAGCCGCATCGCTAATCAAAATGTTTTCTATCCAGATTTTTTTCCAGATCTATGATATCATCTTCTACTTTATGATTATCGATAGGAATCTCCGCCAGTAATTTTAAGAACTGCTTGCAGATATAATCAAATTTAGAGGCGTGAATTACCTTGGGTCAATCTCAATAGCCAGACTAATCAAAGGACCAATTGACGCCCCTTCAAGAAGAGCAGCCCCAAATAAAATAGAAATCCTCTTTTTCTGATCACAAATCACGAGACATAAAACAAAAATATCAATACTGAGAACACAAAATATTCAGAGAAATCGTACACACACATACATTGGAACACCAGAGAGAAAAGAGGACGCTGTAGAAATCTACCTCTTCATAAGGAGGAGTGGCCATTAGCCACGCGATACTTCCAATACAGGCCAGTGTTGTGAGAGTACCGCCGATGTTCAAGAGCATATGCAGGTAGGCTCCAGCAGCAGATGCAACTAAAGCACAGCCCAGAGTAAGGTAAACCTGCAGATTCGCAGTACTTGGCGAAATTAGCTCTAGTTACATCTATATGGCTTATACAAATAACAACGACGAATGGAGAACAATTAATTGTCTCAGTTCATTCAAATGTCCAGAAGAAAAACAATGCAACCGAAATGAAACAAAAAAGCGATAAGGAAACCATGTTCGAAGAAATATAAGAATCCAAGAATCCACACTGTGAATCATCAACATCCGATCACTTGCACAATAACAACCACGTCCACGAAGAACGTAAACAGAGGAATTCGAAATCTCAATTAGAACCACGCTTCTAGATATGAAATCTCTACAAACATGGCCATACAAAGAACGAAAGAAGGAAAAGAATAGAGCAACCAACCTGCTGGAGATGAGATTGAACGGCCGGCGAAATCTGCCGGAAGTTCTTGAGAGAATCATAGCTCCAACGGTTTCTGGATCCTGGTTGAGAATCGAAGAAAGATGAGAAAGAATCCATTGATTGCTTCGACGACTTTCAGAGCGAATACAAAACGATGACGAACGGAAACCAACCGAAACAACATATATATATATATATTAACGCAGTCAAGTTTCTAGATTGTTCGAATTCACCATTTTGCCCCTGTTCTTTTAAGCCACGAGAGGTTTTGTTGTTTTGATAAATTCAAATAACATATTAATATTGAATAATATAACTTTGAGAAACATATAGATTCATCTAGATTATAGTTACTTTATGAATATAAAGTAATTATATTCATTAAATCTTTTTTTCTTTTTTCAATTCTCTAAATCTTTAGAAAAAATATAAAAGTTAAGCTTAGTGTAAAACACCTAACTTCTTTTTTAAATGTCAAAGGTTTCATCCATCATATTACATATTTCTTAAAAAAAAAAGTAAATAGTTTCTAAATCTATTTTAAGTTTTTTAAATGTAGAAATTAGATTATAGGGTTGAAAATTTTCGATAAATTTAAGGGTACAATTAACTCGGGAGTGATACTAGACGTGTGTAGAAAAAAAGGACAAATAAAAAGAATAGGGTAGAAATTTCTAGATAAAGTTGAGGGCATAATTGACATTAAGGTATGAGTAAAGACAACAAAATTATTTCTCATACTACGGTGAAATCCATATGCCTTATCGGCGAAGCTTCGACAACTTGGCCAAGTTGTTGTAAAAAAAAAGAAGATGATAATAATGATAATAATAATAAAACTTTGCCATGCAATTTCCCATGGGCATTTTGGACCTCTTACCTTTTATAGAACAAATTAACCTGGGTAACCAAGTTGAAATTTATTTTCACAATCTTTGTTAATAAAAATACTTGGTGCTTATTTTTACTGACTATTTTTTTACAAGTAAGGGAGAAATAGAATTAAATTGACGGTTAGCACCAAAATAAGTGAAACACCTGAATATTATTTATACATTAGGATGGTCGAGAATAATTCTACCATTGGTGTTTACTGTAAATTAAGAATCATTTATAACTTGTGAGTTTGTATAGAATCCTGAATCTAATTCTTAATTTTTAAAAATAGTGCTTTTCTATAAAAAAAAAAAAAGTTAGGAATCTTATTTATATTAGTTTGTTTGGTAGGCAAATAGATTTAAAAAAATGTGTTTGACAGATTTGTTTTTGAAAATGGTTGAATTTGAAACCTTAAATGCAGACATAATTTCATGTTATAAATTCATTTCATTTTTGTTAAAATTAAAAAAAATTAAAAATTAAAATATAATATATTATAAATTATAATAAATGTAAAATGATAATTCTACAAAATTCATAATATGTTAATAAACTAACTAATACTATTTTGAACTAACTATCTAGTTGGTAGCTATCTAGCTTATTATATATATTACTAAATGTCTTCAACAATTTTTTAGATTGAAATTTGATTTCTAAATCTACTGCCAAACACATTCAAATGCATCCCTAAATTTGTAGGTCCTATTAACTCATATTATAGTTTTCAAAAAACGAAAAATAATTGTCAAATATGTAACCCCATTATTGGTGGATATGTTATTTATTCTAGTGCTTCTCGTAGACTGGTAGTTAGTCAATGCCTAACCCTTTCTTCCATGAAATGAAGACCATTGGAAAATATGAATGTGAAGGAGGAGAATTTTTCATATAGAAAATTGTATTAAACATGTGATGAAACTTCAAAACTATAGCATCGCAAATACTTAGCAAGTCGGTCAAAACGCGATATGCTCTTACTTGCATCACAAGAATACTTGCATCACAAGAATCAAGATCGGACCCATTTAAACCCACATCTCTACTCTCATCCAAAGAAACTTATAGGATTAAATATTAAGCAGGTAGCTAACACGATTTGAACTCACTTTCTTTTAAGTTCTCTACTTCTTTCGTTGAGTCAATCCACGAGGATTAAAATAGTTTTACCTATGAATGTTGTTGGAGATGAAAAAACAAAAAGACCATCAAAATTACCAACAAAAGCATGTTGATTCGTCTGAACAAACTCTGCTTCAATGCTTTGCTGCAGATTTGTGTGAAAAAACAGAACACCTACTTCTCCAATGTCATTTGCTTGTGTACAAGCATGCCACGACCTGTTGCCTCAGATTTTTTGTTCAGTTCGTCTTCGGGTGCTCGAAACTGCAGCAACTAGAGAAGTTGTCTAAGAAGAATCAATTGAATGCTGCTCTAGCTCAAGCATGTCAAGGAAATGACTTGTAGCGATTAACTTCTCCTTCTCCTTTGCTTTCTTCGGCATTCGAAACAATCCGAACATGGAGGAATTTTTCTACCCATATTGCTTGCTAGGAGCTTGCTAGGTGGTACTTTCAGGTCTTCAACTAGTATTTGGTGAAGCTTGTCATTCTCCTCCCTAAGTTCTTGAATGAGTTTCTGATGCATTATTACCTGCACTTGCAACAGAATTAGTTGAATCAGTTTTATGAATAAAACACGGTGGATATTAACAACAAATCAGGCTACATTAAAGCACATTGTTGAAAGCTAGCAAACATTCATCGGTCTAAACATTTGTTTCATATATGTGAGTGTCTAAGTTAGTTTGCATGCACAATAGAATCATCTGATTGAAGTGAAAATATAGCACAATGCTTTGTTTTTTTAACAGAATTCCACAATCAAGACCCTCGACATAATATGTGAACAATGCTTTCTCATACCTAAAACTAAAATGCATCACTTTTCCCTCATTTGAAAGTCATTTCCATGATGCATCTCTAAAGGAATGGCCATTATGGAAACTTACCATTTGGAAGAGATGGTTTTCGAGTCGTAGCTGCCCAACCTGCAACGAAAGAAACATCAATCAGGACCCAAACCAAATTAGTTATCAGCTCGACTAAATCCATGATGAGATTAAAAGTATGGTTTTTGTATTCACAGCATTGTACATGTCAAGGTTGCGACCTCGTTGTGCCATTGCAGAAAATGTATTTTACGAGCAAACCACATCAAATATTCACCGCTCTTATGGGAAAAAATTTTCTCGAATGCACTCATAAGAAGCAAAACATTTTTTAGAACCTAAAACCGAGTATGTAGTATCGTACCTCATTGCGCAGTTCAGTATCACCTCCTCTAAAAACAGGATTTTGCAAGAAACTGTCGATAACCTTCTCAGTTCGACTTCCAAAAGATCTGCTTGATACAGCATTTCCAACAGGGGATCCCTTAGACACATTTCCATATCCAGACAGGTTTCGTGGGACAGTTTCGGGCACTTCTTTTGCCAACTTTTCAATACTTGCAATAGGATGTTGAGCAGTAGCGTTTGTCATGCTCATGGCAGATTGCAGTGACACTGGTCCAGCGCCTTGAGTAATTGGAAGACTAGGATTATTTCCTAACTTTTTCATCATCTTCTCCGTTGCTTGCTACCAGATTTGGGTTTCAAGCCTCAAATACATGTATGTAAGAAGTCATAATGGGAAATATTTGATGGATAAGAGGTCTGGCACCTACCACAACAGAAGATTGAACTTGTTGTTGAAATGAAGGCTTGATAGCAAGGCCTGACATTCAAGAATCGACATGTCAGTTGAACAACATACCGGTAACTCAAGAGATCCATGAAAATGTTGATATTGAGTAATTGAAAATGAATGTCAATTTTTAAAGTTTCAGCTGAGAGAGTTATCAGGCAAAGTTTAATTGCATCTATTTCATAAATTTGGAGGTTAATTGCTTGAACTGAAAGTTCGAAAGTGTAGTTGTAATAACCCTATAGTTCAGGAGTAGTTTTTACATTTTTCCCTAAAAGTTACAAACAACCACTACACCAATGTTAACAAATTATTTCAAACTAAAAACAAAGTTTCATTATGAAACTTGATATTGAGAAGATATTGTTGGACATACCAACACCAAAACCATGGCCAAAACCAACTCCACATCCAATGCCAGCTTGAATGTTATTAGCTCCCAATTTCCTGAGCTAACATGTGAAAATTGGGTGAATTTCATTGTGCTGAAATTTTGGACATTGAATAAAGAACAAAAATGCATACTGTTTGAAGAAAAGGACAAGGGTAAGACTCACAAAGTTATTCAAATGCCTAGTTATACCAGAAAATGCGTCGGTTGCACCTCTTGTGGCACTCATTACTTCATTTACAATGGGTATTGCACCTGAAACAAAAGAAATCACTCTATAAATTCATTAAGTAGTAATACTAATGGCCCAACAGACATGTTCATTGTTCATCAACCAAGAACCAAACATATATCAACATCCTGCAAATGTGCACCAAAATGCCTAAACTCAGCAAAACAGTGCCAACTAAATAGTCTTATTCAGCTTCAGAAACACTTCAACTAGCCATAACTCCCCCAATAATAGGGAACTCAACTTCAAACGGTATCAATTCCAACATAAATTTAGGCCTCCTTTGATTATGATTTCGTTTGTAATTCTTTTTTTTTTTTTTTTAAGAAAAAGTATGCTTGCGGAGTACTGTTTAAAGCTTAACTTTCAAAAACAGAGAATCAAAAATAAAATTGTTACCAAACAGGACTTAATGTTGAATATGATGAATCAAAGATTCTAAACTAAAATTATTCACCCGACTAATTGCTGACATACATTTAGAATTAATCAGTGTAAGGTCAAACTCTACAAAGTTGGGCAGAGTTCATATCTCCCTGCTCTCCTCTTTCCTGCGTCTCAATCAACTTCCTAGCAAATGAAGTTAAAAGAAATCTTCATATACTGGTATCAATAGAATTGAACTTGTCGCCAAAAATGCTGTTCATCTTCCTACTAGAGAAAGGAGAAGCTCTAACACAGATGTCACTTCCCAGATTTCACACCTCAATACCTTTTTACTAAAGATTAAAATGAACTGAAAGAAAGCAGGAAACAACTCTTTAATCCATCAGTTCACCACAGCCCCAATTTCCATGGAAATTGAAAATTCAGAGCTAAAGAAACTGGTGGAGAGAAAAAGTAGATAACGAGAAGGAAAATTACCCATGTTAATGGGGCGGCCAACGCCGATACCGACGCCACAACCGATGCCGAAACCTGTAAATACTTGACCCACCTTCAAAGTAAACGGATTCTCCATTCGGATTCCCCGAAATCGCTCTCTCTCGAAGGTCACCGTGCCCTTACTTTCCGGGACATTTCTAGCTTCCATTCTTCAACGAGCTTCAATATACGGACTCTGCAAATTTCAGTGTTCGCGAAGCTTGCTCGGTTCGATTGCAGGGAGCAAATATGAAATTGAAGGTTTTGTTTTCTCGCCAACTTTAATGGGCTTATTCAGGTGGGCTTTATAGGCTACATTTTGGACCTTAAACCGCTCAGCCCATAATTTTTTTTCCGTTTGGTTTAACGATAGCACAAGCTATAATTTTCTCCTCTGTTTTCCCGGGAAAATTCCTTCTCCACCACTGGTTTGCGTGGCTAATCGACTTCTATTGTCTGATAATCTGAGAAAGATCCCTCTTCTCTCTTCCTTCATTCTTCTTTTCTTGTGGGGTTTGAATAATTCGTGATAAACTCTTCAGTTCTAGTCTCTAGACACGAGCTTTCATGGCTGTGGCTTCTTCTTCGTCGTCTGTGTTCCTTAAATCGCCTCTGTCGCCATCTCCAGCGCTCCATTTTCATGGCGGAGAATTTCCCAAGAGCCGGCCATGGATTCAGGCTCGACCCAGAACTAGATTTTACTGTAAAACTGCGGTCAGAGCTCAATCGGAGGTCAGGAGGGAAGAAATAGTTATAGTTGGAGGAGGGATTGCTGGTTTGGCCACTGCTCTGTCCCTTCACCGGTAGGATCTAATTTCTTTATGAAATCCTGTAGTTTAATGGTTTAAAATCAAACGTTTTATTTGGATGTTTCAATTCTTGAGGGTTTGAGATTTCAGGCTTGGAGTTAGATCATTGGTGCTAGAGCAAGCAGAATCACTTAGAACTGGTGGAGCTTCACTGACCCTTTTCAAAAATGGGTGGCGTGCGTTGGATGCAATTGGGGTTGGAAATGTTCTCAGGACCCAGTTTCTTGAGATTCAAGGGTATGTGCTAGTTTTTTCTTGGTGTGTCGAACTCTCAAAAAATGAGAAGCAGAAATAGTTAACCCAGTTTCAAATGTTGTTAAACAGTACAATGTTTAGAATGTGAAGATTGAATTCACCGGAGCCATTCGTATTCCTGTAATTTCATTTACTCCCATAATCAGTTTGTTAGGTCTTTTTCCTAGCTCGCAAGTCAGAGGAGTATTATGAATATGGAGATTAAGTTTACAACTAAGGCTTTTGAGTTTAGCGGTGATTTAAAACATATTTCATAGATTATGATATATTTAATGATTTGTACATATTTTTACGCTCTCCTCACTTGTATGCCTAGAAGTTAGAAGTTAGCATATAACTGAACAAATGACTATCAATATAATTGACAAGAAAATTAACTTTGGTCCTCTCCAAAAATTCAAGTTTATAGGTTGCGGCGGGTGAATATAAACAATGAGACTGAGTTTTGGTTTGAACCCAGCTCCCACACTCCTATGTTTTGGAGTGGAAAATGAATAAGAGGAAAAAAGATGTAATTTTAGATAATGAGAGACCTCTGTTAAAAATTGTTGAACTTCCACTGAAATTGTTTATATTACCAGCATTGCAGGATGGTAGTGAAGTCAGAAGAAGGAAAACAGCTGCGCTCCTTCACTTTTAAGGATGAGGATGAAAGGTGCTCGGTTTTTCTACATTTACTGCTAATAGAACTGAATCAGAAGTTAGTCATATGTCAACATTTTTCCTCCTAAGAAACGGTTTCATCGTCTTTTTCCTGCTTTCAGCTTTGACTGTAAAGGGATTTGAGACTGTTATAACTGTTGTTTACCGTCGTTCGACAGTCAAGAGGTACGCGCTGTGGAGAGGAGAATACTGCTGGAGACTCTGGCCTCTCAGCTTCCTTCAGGAACAATTCAGTTTTCTTCTAAGTTGGAAGCCATTCAAAGAACTGACCAAGATGAACTTAAGTTGGAACTTGTGGATGGAACACAGCTGATTGCAAAGGTTACTCTTTTAACTTCAAGAGAATTGGCTTACTTTTTCTTCTAGTAGCATCCTACTTATTGGATCTTGTTTTCTGCATTATATCGTTGTCGAACAGATTGTCATCGGCTGCGATGGCATTCGATCTCCTGTAGCTCGGTGGATGGGGTTTTCGGAGCCGAAATACGCCGGGCATTGTGCCTTTCGTGGGCTTGCAAATTATCCAGACGGACAGCCACACGAGCCGAAAGTTAACAACATCTATGGAAGGGGGTTGCGTGCTGGTTATGTTCCAGTTTCTGCTACAAAAATTTACTGGTTTATCTGCTATAATAACTCATCTCCAGGTCTGCAATGCTTATGAATTTGACATTAAAACTTGCGCTACCTGGTCACCGATATTGGCGGTTTCTCTCATTGTGCAGGACCAAAAATCACAGATCCAGCTGTTTTAAAACAGCAAGCAAAGGAGCTAGTCAGAAACTGGCCATCAGATCTATTAAACATCATGGACACAACCCCGGACGAGACATTAAGTCGAACGCCCCTTGTAGACCGATGGCTATGGCCTGCAGTCAGCCCCCCCGTTTCATCGGGGAGAGTGGTTCTGGTTGGAGATGCTTGGCATCCAATGACTCCAAATCTAGGACAAGGAGCGTGCTGTGCATTAGAAGATGCAGTGGTTCTAGCAAGGAAGCTCACCGCTGCACTCAAGTCCGGTAGCGGTACACCTTCTGTTGAAGAAGCTATGAGGTCATATGGAACTGAACGATGGCCTCGAGTCTTTCCGCTTACCGTGCGAGCCAATATGGTCGGATCAGCTCTGCAGTGGGAGAACCCAGTTGTTTGTTCTGTGAGAAACAATGTTGTGATACCCAAACTGGTTAGGCTAGGACCTCTGCTAGAGCATACCAATTTTGATTGTAATGCTTTGTGAATATATAACAGAACAGAAGATTTCAGGTTCAATGCTCAAAAAACATTAACAAGTTTATTATAAGTTTATTACTTGATATTTTGTATGTATTCTATCATACTTTTTTTAATGGAAATATGTTTGCCCTTTAATCTTAGAATTAGTCCTATGCTTTAATCTTATAATTGAGTGACTTTATAATTACACTTCAGCTTCTTTTTTTGAATCCATATAATTGCTTAAAACCCAATTAAATTCACGTTTCTCAATCAACATAACTTGTCATACTCCAGCCTCATTGAAATAAAATATCATATCTTGAAGTACCAAAAGAAAAAAAACAAGTAATAAGTCTTAAAAAGTGTATGAACTAATATAAATCTAAAGGAATCTATATAAGGACGAAAATATAAGTTAATTAACCAATTTGAACATAGTTTAACTAATTAAAATTAGAAGATTGTGGGTTTGAATTCTCACTCTTATAAATACTTATAAAATATAAAATAAGATACTTATTATCATCTAAAATGCGAGTAAGTTCCGATTTCCTAATTGTTGAGTCAAACCAAGGAAAAGACTGAATACTGAAATTAAAATATTCGTCAACTTAAAATTTTACCAATATGCAAAACGTCGTCGTTCTTCTGGTAATACTGAAATAAAAATAGAAAGTTCCTTTTTTCAATGAAGCATGTTATTCTCCCACACAATAGAAACTAGAAAGAAACAAAAAGAAAGTTTATTATTTTGTAAAAAACACGTGGCGATCATTCTGTGTTGCCACGTCACCCACCGTACTGGCCACCTGGGATCACATACTTCACGACATTTTCGGGCCTTTATAAAGCACGCGCCCGTCTCCCCCCTCCGTTCATTTCCTCGACTTCTCCTTCTCTCTCTCTCTTTCTCTCTTCTCTCTCTCTCCTCTGCTCCGGCGAACGATCTGCTTCCGGTCAAGCTTTCGCCGGCAGGTGCTCTCCTCGTACCGATCTCTCCTGATATAATTGAGGCCGGCATCTAACTCGCCATGAATCCGGAATAGTAAGCTCAATTTTTGTGTTTTCTTTACCCTTGGCTTCCTGCGAGTCAAATTTGTCAATTGGAGCCCTTATTTTGTGGTTGTTTCTGCCGAGTTAGGTTAGATCTGGTCGATGAGGGAGCTGTGACCTTGTTTGTACGTTTTGTGTTGGATGTTTTGATCAATCTGTGATTTTGGATGGTATAGCTGTTTGGTGTGATTTGGTTGTTTGTGGCGTTTTGATTTTGAAATCTGGCGACCGGTTTTGAGATCCTAATTAAGCGTTGCTTCTCGAAATAATTTACGGTTTGAATGTAAGTTTTGTTGCCGATTTTGATGATCAACTTGTAATATGGAGCTCGAATTTCTGAAGGCCTGTGTAAATCGTTCAATTCTTATCTTATTTGTGGAGTTATTTCGGTAATTTCTTGAATATAATTGCTTGGTTCATTTTGGAAACTAAGGCACGTTTAAATGGTAAATTCATAGTATGTGGTTCTGTATGTTCCTTGAATCCTCGAGGAAAATATTTTTCCTCTCTCGCTGTACGGAGTCGGTAATTCTCCTATGTGTGATTATTTTACGTCATGGAGTTGTGATATTTAGTGCGTTCTTTTTAACAGTGAGAAATGCGTTGCACGTGTTTACTCCTTCATTCTCGTATTTGCAGTGACTATTTGTTTAAGCTTTTGCTTATCGGAGATTCAGGCGTTGGAAAATCATGTCTTCTACTGAGGTTTGCTGTAAGTTGTCAGGATTGATTCGCTCCCGATAATTTTTTTCCTATCCTCACGTTTTTCCCAACTTCTTTTCTTTTTTCCTTTCCTATTGAAATCGTAGATGCAGCTAAAGTTTATACAAATTACTTTTCTATACCAAACGAGCAAAAACAATTGCTGTGACTAGTATGCATAATCGGACACCATCTACAGCCTGACTCCGACTCAAATATGGAATCTTTTCTCGCCCAGCAGTCAGCACATCCTTTTTGTCTTTTTTGTTTTCCCTTTTTTCTCTGTTTTTTCTCCTGATTGTTCCAACTTCTATTCGAGGTGGTTAAAAAATTGTTCGTTCAGCAAGATGTATTTTTAAGTTACCAACAACTTCCTTATATTTTCGCAACTAAATAAGCTGTTCAGAGTGATTAGTTCTCTTTATATTTTATAGAAATCCTCATTTTTGTCTAATGTTCATTCACATAGTTTTTGCATTGCCTGAGAATTTTGAGCCCCCGATAATTGACATTTATTGAGCTTGTTAAAGGGCAGTTGTAGGTTTCGCTTTGGTATATGCACATGTTCCTTAAGTAACTCCTTTGCTTTTATAAATCAGGATGATTCATATCTGGATAGCTACATTAGCACCATTGGAGTCGACTTTGTAAGCTTCTACCACATATATGGTTTTATTCACTGATAACCACTGCATGAATTTTTACAGCTCTAATACTTGAACAAAATTTTTTCTTTGTAGAAAATCCGTACTGTGGAACAGGATGGAAAGACCATTAAACTTCAAATTGTAAGTTTAATTTTATAATTGTCATTTCTTTAATCTAAGCCTAGAGGAGGATTGTTACTCGAGGACTGTTTTTTCCCTTTTCGTCATCTATATTCTGGAAACATCCTGTATTTCTGTCGGTAAAAATAAAATTTAACAGTTGACCTTTTCTTATTTATTTTAATTCAATTGTAAGTGCACAAATTATTCAGATTTTCTTTCAATTGCTTGTTAATTTTGAAGAAGTTTTCGGTGGTTTTTTGGCCTTCTCCCTGTTAATTGGTAATCTTCATCATCAATTGTAGTGGGATACTGCCGGTCAAGAACGCTTTAGAACAATTACTAGCAGCTACTACCGTGGAGCTCATGGCATAATTGTAATGGCTGCGCTCTCTTCGTTGTTCACATTTATTTCCTGCCTTTTTATCTTCCAAAAGTGAAGCCTGCTTGCCTATAATGTTCTGCAATGTGTATAGGTTGTGTATGATGTTACGGACCAGGATAGCTTCAATAATGTTAAGCAATGGTTGAATGAAATAGATAGATATGCAAGCGAAAACGTGAACAAGCTTTTGGTTGGTAATAAATGTGACCTCACTGCAAATAAGGTCGTTTCTTATGAGACAGCTAAGGTATAATTTTTCTTCTTTAGTATCTTTCATTAAAATACACGATTTGATCTTTAACGAATGTCAAGTAAATTCGGTAATGACTGATGACCATAATCCTTTTAAGGCTTTTGCGGATGAAATTGGGATTCCTTTCATGGAAACTAGTGCTAAAAGCGCTACTAATGTGGAAGAGGCTTTCATGGCCATGGCTGCTGAAATAAAGAACAGGTATGAACACCAGCAACTTTTCTGGTTACTTGAATCTATTATTAAGGCTCCAAACATTTCAATTTTTATCACACCAAATCGGGGATGAGACAGCCCTCAAAGTTACTAACCCGACGTTTACTCGGGAGGAAGTAAATCTCAGACGTTGAACCTAAATCACCTTATTCACACTACGATCTCTCGCTAGTCTTGACATTGAGGGCAGCTAGATTCTTTAGTTGGCTTGGATTAGATGAGGCAGCGACTGCCCTTTTTACTCTAGCTGATTCTTTTGGGGTTCATTTGATACGTATAGGATGGCGACACAGCCGATGAACAACGCGAGGCCACCGACAGTGAATATTCGAGGACAACCTGTGAATCAGAAAGCTGGTTGCTGCTCTTCCTAAAGATGGCATGGCCTTGTTGAATGCTTGGACTGATTGGTAATCTTAATGTTTGGACCGTGACATGTAAAACTAGTCTCTCTATGCTTTTGGTATGAAAAGATTCGTCCGTCGTGATTTGTCTTTTTTTTTTTTCTTTTCTCGTCTTTTGTCAGCACTTCCTTAACACTTCCATTCTTTCCAATATATTTGTTTCTGGATCAACATTCAGCTGTAAAATTTAGATATCAATGAACAGTAGTATTTGCTTCATTTCCTTTATCACTATTAATTGTTCTGTTATAACATGATTTTTTTAATATTTTATTTTAGTTCTGTTGCAATGCTGAACTTTTCCTAGTTTGAAGTGATTTGATTATAGTTTTTGTTATGTAGTTTGGAAGAGATAAAAAGTTATGTGATATATATTGCAATTGAATACATGGAAATTTACAGAGCCTTGCAACCATTTCTTCCTCTTATTAGGTGACGAGTTCCATTGCTTTACTGAATTTTCTGCGTAAGCTTAAGCGGAATTTAGGTGTAAAGCTCGGAACGTACTAATGGAAACAATGTTGATGGTAGTTTTATCATGTGAGATGTATTTCGAACTTGTATTTAATGGTTGTTAAAGACGTACATATTTTGAACTTGCATCTAACTATTATTAGGGGCAGTCAGGTAGCATCGTTCAGACTTTGGACGACGTTTGGACCAATGACTTTCCGCTCATGCAAGCGTATTATATCTTTTCGTAATGGTTATATGTTGAGGTTGTATTGATTTGTTGAGGATGGTAAAGAAGAAATGGAAGTCATTTCCATTCTTCTATAGAGGTTAACCATAAGCTAAAAATGGTTTTGGATGGATAGATTCTTTATTGAGGGAGAATGTCTAGGTAGAGAATCTCATGTGATATGCTTTCTTCCTTTTTTTGCTTTCTCAATGCTTAACATGATATGCTTTTAAATTTTAAAATATTAAACCAAATCTATACTCTACATTGGTACATCAATAATATACTACTTTTATTTTATTTTTATCAACGAATGCAAAAATGAGAAAAAATAACTATCTTGTAAATTATGGTTTCTTTGCAACTTTACCTTACCAGGTTACCAGCCCACATTATAATTTCTCTAAGATTTTCTTTTTAAAAAACAGAAAAAGAATGCAAAGTTTTAATTAAAAAAAATATTTGTTTCGTCTCCCTCCTCTGCGAGTCCATCACAACCCTCAGAACTCGCGCCTTTGTTTTCTTCAACAATCGGACGGTGAGCGCAGCCTCTTCAAGTCTACATATTTGGTAAGGTAAACATATATTATGAGGTAATTATTATTTCGAGAAAACATATATTTCAAAATAACTGTTATTTCGAGGGATCAAATATTGATTGTCTCAATATAACTATTGGCAACTATTATTTAGAGGTAACACCGCTATTTTGAGGGCATATATATTTCAAAGCAACATTGTTTCAATTTTTCAAGCCAAAATTATTTTTAGGCTTATATGTTCCCAGCAAACTATCTGGAGGTTACATATTTGTTCAACACATATTTTCAGGCCATTATTAGAAGGGAAAAACATATATTTTGAGACAAACATTATYCCGAAGCAACATATATTTTGAGGGACGAAATATTGGTTGCCTCAATATAATTGTTGGCAACCATTATTTGAAGGCAACATATATTTTTGATGCAGCTGCTATTTGAGAAGACAATTATATTGAGGTAACCGTTATTCTGATGCTACATAAATTTCGAGGCTACATATTTTCCAAGTCAACAAATATTTCGAGACAGCTATATTTATTTCAAGACAACTGTTGTTTCAAGAGATCAAACCATGGTTGCCTCAATATAATTTTTGACCACCATTATACAAAGGCATGAGACAATCGTTATTAAGAAGGCAACAATCATATCGAGGCAACCGTATTTTGAGGCTACATAAAGTCCGTTGAGATTTTGTTCCGCAACCAATACAATTAATCAGCAGCAATACATCAGGCTGAATGACAAAAGTCTAAGAGAAGAACTTGAACGCCAGGTTTTTAGAGTGCCTACATCCACTTTTGAGGAAATTTTCTGATTGTAGGATAGCCTGAAATGTTTGGCTAAAGGTATATTTAATGTATTTGCTTCTTTGTTCCTTACAATTTCCATCCCATTAAGAAAAGTTGTAGTTACATCCATCTTTCTAACTCTCAATCAAAATCAGCAATTATGGACAACAAAACTCTAATGGTTGAGTGTCTCCTGCTATCGGAGAATAGACCTCATTGTAGTCTATTCTAGCTCGTTGAGTAAACCCACATGCAACTAGTCTTGCCTTATATCGTAGTTTTTCAATTTATGATAGTTAAGATTTATTTATGCACCTAGCTCATTCCTCTTGGTTGTGGCTTCATATCTTGTTTCACATGAGCATAAGTCATACAACCAAAAACCCTTAAATGTTTTCAATCAGGAGATGAACCGGTCCAAATTTCTCGTGGAGTTTTATTCCTAATTGTTGAGGATAAGGGCTCCCATTAATAAGATAACATGTTGTTTTTACAACCTCACCCCAAACAATCTTCGTAAACTAGCTTGCATTAACATACACCTTACTCTTTCTAAAATGGTTCTATTATAATATCTCTCTGCCAAACCATTTTATTGAGGCGTTATTCCAATCGTAAGACGTCTTCTTATTCCTTCCCTTAAACACAATTCAGCAAAAAACCATGGTCTATTCTTATTACATTCACTCCATCTGTTTGGTTTGGAATCATATAATCAACGCTTCTTCATCTTTATGCTTCAATATGAATACTCATACCTTTCTAAAATAATCCTCAATTAATTATGTCCCTAAGGGATAACTTGAATGGCTTCGGGCCTCAAAGAATAACTTTGAGATCTTGGGTTCAAGTCCCATGGAATGCAACTTCTACCAAGTAATTATGACTCCTTGTGTATGTACGAGTATGGGGAAAAAGCCAAAGGACCGTCGACTCTTTGAGTGCAAGCTCAAATTTAGAATAAACAAGTCAACGTGAGTCGGTCGAAGTGAAGATTTGAATCTCTACCCTTACATGTTGAACTCAATCAAACTAACTCAAATAGTTGTTTCAAAAATTTATACGACCTTTTTCATGTTTTAAAATATTAAAAACAAAAATAGTTCATTCGATTATAATCTAGTGGAGTGTCTGTTCCTACTAGATTTTAATATTATATATAGAAGAAACGTTAAAATGAAAGCATTTTCTCCTCCCTCCATAAAAACTTCTGTCTCCACCCATACTTAGACAATCAATTCAATTAATTTGATTTCCCAATTTCTTTTTTATATTTTTACAATATATCAATATGTTGATTTTTATTGTCTAAATGCAAGGCCGAGAGAAGACAGATAAATGCATCAATGGGAGACGGATTTTTGTAATTTTGTTTGCTTAACTTTTAGGAAAAAGAAGAGAGAGAGAGGATAAGGGACACAAGGCAATAATTGGGACACGTGTCCTTCAAACAAATTAAAAAAAAAAATCTTCCGTTGCGGGGAATCGACTAGACTACAACGGAATTAATGTTTACAAAAAGTTCTATCTTAATTAATTTAATTACCTAATTTTCTTTTCTACAATTATTAGCTGATTTTCAATATTGAGAAACTTTTATCATAATTTGTATTAAAGAGTTCTGATTGTGTATAAAATTATACGATAAAATTGGTCATTTTCTAATTACCAAAATGAATATTTTCAAAATACAATAATTAAAATTAACAAAATTGAAAGTACATAAACTAAATTCTAACACTTTGAAATATATAAGATCAAAATGTTTAAACCAAAATTAAAATAACGAAGTGAATAAAGAAAAAGAAAAAAAGGGACTTTCTGACCATTTTGTAGATTTTTATTTGGGTACATAAAGATTTTCTAATATTTAAACTTCAACAAAGACGATTAATCATAGAAATTTAACCTACAAAAGAGATCAAAGCTGATTCCATTTAAAAAAAAATGAAAATAGCCTCTTAATAAATAAAATTTAATCAAATCAAACACAACCTAAATATTTAACTAACTATTTATATTTTTTTAACTTCTATTTCTTATTTCTCATATTCAACCTTATTAAAATACTTATTCTCATTTCCAATTAAGTTAAAACTGAAGTATTTGACACCTATTTAAACTTTTTTATTTCTCATTTTTTAAAAATATTTTCATAATATTGTTTAAAAATTTTAAAAACAAAAATAACAAATTTCTTATTTCTAATTCTCAGAAATTTTGTTTCACCATTCTAAAATCCACAAGTGTTTAAGCATGAAATTCAAACAAAAATAATAATTCAAATTATTCGTAAATTATCAAAATGAGATCCTAGTTCCATTCTCGATAGAGAAAAAACATAGCATTAATCATTTAGTGCAAGCTAAAAAAGAAAATGTCACAGAAATTTCTTGTTTTCAGTTCAAAAACTATGATCTGAAGAGCTTCTTGGACCCTCTGTTGGCCATCACACACTTTAATCAAATCTCTCTCATCTTTTTCATTCTTTTTTCCCACTTTCAGTCTAAAAAGATAAATCACAAAACTTGAAATATAAAAAGCTAACAGTCAGTTCCTTATGAAATTTCATGGTCAGATCCTATTAGCAAAGAACTATGATACTTAGGAAAAGAACAATTTTCTTTCAGAGAGAAGCAGAAATCCTGGGAGTGGGGAGACAGATTCAGTCCAGAAGACCCATCTCATCAATGAGTTAACCAACAGAGAGAAAAAATTTCCAGAGAAACATTCACATCAAGAGAAAACTAGAAAAGTTGTTTGGTAAGGGGGGCATTTTTGGGAGTACATTGCAAAATTTGAGAACTAAAATAGCAATAATAATAATAATAATAATAAACATCCTTCAACAAAATCAAAATTGATGCATAACTTACGTTCGAGACATAACATCCAAGATTTACACTACATAGCAGTATTAGAGGGAGTTTCAGAATCCTGTTGGTAGTTGTAACTCAAAAATTCCGATCTGATATCTCAAGAAAACTTAAAAATGTAGTGCCAAAATATGTTTTTAGTGGTAAAAGTCTCACTTAGCACTCAATGAAGGGAACTGCCCGGGATCTTCAATGGAGGGGGCTGAGACATTGATTCTGTTGCTACCATTGTTGAAGCCACCTCTTGAGCCTCCTCGCCCACGGCCTCTACCACGACCGCCAGGGTTATAGTACCTCTCACCCTCAGCAGGCTTTAGGAACTCAGTTATGGTCACAGACTATAGCCAAAAACAAATAAATTAGATCAGCTATATAAAAGGAAGTGTAGAAAGAATGTGGGTGGAAGATATTTCGCAAAAATGGACCTGATATTAAAATACAGCAATGGTAGAAACATCTTACAAATAACAGACTGGGTACTTATATATACTATATAAGAAAACTGAAAATAACTCGACACCGCAAAGTACATCAAGAACCAACAGGTGAAAGAGAGATGGATTGAATCAACACTTTCAAAGTTGCATACCAACAAAAAAAATAATATTTCTGGTTAATTCATAATATATAATTTCATAAAGACCACAGAATAATGAGTTCCTGAAAAGTAATACATACTTTCTTAGCTTTCTCTTCCTTGTCAGCATTATCTTTGCGCTTATCCTTATCACCACCCTGACAATAAAATTTTTAAGGTCGGACTACCAAAGAAAAACACAAAAAAAGAATCGTTGAAGTAACATGATAGAAACACTCACCAATTTGGCAAATATTTCATCATTGCTTTTCTTGCAAGAAAGCTGCTGCATGTTCTCTAACTCCTCATCCACCTCAGCCTTCCTCACCTCAGTCTTTGCCAAAAGTTTCCTGTTCTCTTCACGGAGCTTCTCATACTCTTTGAGGGTCATCTCCTGTAAGATGACAGTGGAACAGATTTGAGATTATATAGCCAGTTGATATGATAGGTTAACCAATACAATGTATCTTCTTTTATAAGAATAGACTAATCAATGTATCGATACTGCAAATAAGAGCACTTACCTTATCCTCGGGCTCCTTCTCTTCTGGCTCCTTTGCAGCATCCTCTTTGTTCTCATCATTCACCACATCCTCTCCCAATTGTTGCTCCGGAGCAACATTCTTCTCATTTTCAGCAACAGGCTCTTCCACATCCCTTAAGATTCACAAGTCAAGTAAATAAGAGGTGGTGGTGAGCTTAACAGGAATTGRAGACCCTGTATGAGTTCAAATAGTACAATTCCAACAAATCAAGAAACATGTTGCAAGTGGAAAATTAAAACTTACGGGGCAATTTCATCACCAGGAGCTCCCCAGTTCCTACGACCACCCCCATCACGCTTAAACTCATTTCTAAAACAATTAAAACAACCACAATGTAAGATAAAATACAAAAACAAATTGCCAGGCAGATGATCAAACTGGAAACTAGTTATATAAATAAAGAATAACTAACCCACGTCCAGTTCCACTGCGACGATCAAACATTCTTCGGGGATGTTCCCCTTCTTCTGCTTCCCCATTGCTGAAGCCACCACGACGAGGACCTCGGAAAGAGCCACGAGGACCACCATACCCACGCTTTTCACCCTTTTCACCTTCCTCAGGAGGCAGATAACGATCAGAGAATCCGTTCTTGCCACCTGGTGCATTGCTTTCATTATTCGCTGAGTCCCTATTAAATCCACCACCGCCACCACGTCCTCGTCCAAATCCACGTCCACCTCCGCGACCACGGCTATTTTCGTTCCTTGCCTCCCTCACTGATCATATATAAAATTAAAACAAAAATAATGCCCAAAACTACATTACATTGGAGAAAAAAGTTCAACAAGATAACATTCGTGTAGTTCCTACTTCATCAGCTAACACCATAATTATAAACTTCTCACTAATTGAGAAACTGCAATATTAACTTCTTGTATGAATACCACTTTAGGGGTACGTATTCTTATTTTTCCTTTTCGAGTACACCAAACAACAAATATGGGGATGGGTGACTTAACCTCCAACCTCTAGACAAGAGTCAGCTTTGCAATACATAGGAAACCAGTTCCATTCAAGAAGAATAAATAACAAACAAAAGAACTACAGAGGAAACTTCACAATACATCCTTTCAAACATTATTAAGACATTGCAAAACAAACCCAGCATCTAGAGTAATAACAACAAAGCAAAACAAAAACCAAAAAAGGCAAACATCATAAGGACAGAAAATTCATATACAGATTGATTGAAACGCTCAGCGTTTCTTACTACTTCACAGGGAAAACAAATCATAAAATATGAAAAACAAAAGTATAAATCAAGTAACAAAACCCACCAGCCTGAGCCGGAGGAAGCGGCTTGGAAGGAAGCTTAGCCGCCGGTTTGGCGGGCTGAGCCAGAGCAGGGGCTTTCTTAGACGGCGGCGACGGCGCAGACCGCTGAGCAGAAGCGAGCTGATTAGGGTCCTCGTTGTCGTCGTCGACCAAGAGATCAAAAGGGTTCATAGTTGCCATATTCGCTCAACCAAGAACTGCAACTCACACCCAGACGACGAGCTACAAGTTAGAGCAAAATCCCCCCAACACGAAACTCTCAGAAATTACTGCAATCCATGAAGAACCGCCGATTATGATATAGAGAAACAGATACAGATTTCGGGGAATGATGAGTTTGGGAGCGAGAGTGAGCAAAACAAGAGTGTGAAGAGAAAAGTCAGAGAAATTGGACAATTGGGTGAAAGAAAAAAACCCTAGCCACTGCGGCAGAGAGATGAGGCTGGAATAAACCCAAACTTAAAAACCCTAATGGGGTATGATCCTCTGCGGCCGGTTCCACTGAATACAATCATCTCCACGATCATATGCTTATTCTCTTTCCACGTGGTACGTTTTCGTTGGTTTCCCTATTTCATAAATAAAGCTATCTAATTAATTATGCATAATTTCCTAATTGACTCTCGATGGAAATTTCAAAAATCGGTTTTCTTTGATTTTTTTTTTTATAATCATTGAGTAATTTTCATAATTATGGTAAAAATTTTATACAGTGAAAATATTTATTTTGATTTAAAATTTTCTCGATCTTCAAAATTATTGGATATTTTCTTTTTCGCCTATTTAATTTAGCCATTTCTAGTCATTCATGTTTCTATAATATCCGGAATGCTATGGGCTGCCAAATAAAGCCCATGAGTCTATCCATATTAAACAAGTTGGGCCTAGTGGGCTGGGCTGCCAAGGCTTTGTTTCCAAAATCCAAAAAACTTTTCATATATAAACATTTTCAATATCGGCCTTTTTAATTTACAATATTCTAATCTAAACCTTAATGGTTTCTCGTTTAATTTCAAGTGAGTTTTTCTTCTTTTCTAACCGAGTATTTTATTTTCTTTATTTTTCTTTTGTAGTTTTGAACCGAGTATAGTACAAATAGTCATTGTTAGACAAGTTTTTCGTAACCTTCTTTTTTATTATTATTATTACTATTAGTAGTCAAATATTTAAATTACTCCTCCTTAATTAAATGATAATATTTAGGCAAAAAAATAAAGATGAATAAAATATTAAATTTTTCCTTTCTGTATATCTCTGTAAAATTAGGTGGGGATTCAAACTCACACCATTTTGGTCAAGTATTTTGATCCATGTTATATTGGCTCATGCATTTTCCTATTTATTTTTGTTATTCCTTTAAATCTTTATTTTCTTATGATTTTCTTGTTTACTTTGAAAGTAAATAAATATCTATCTTTCCATTTTATTGAAACATTTAAATATTTTAGGCTGTTTACGCACTTATCCGTATAATTTACTATTTTATTATCCACCAATATGGTAAAGAATAAAGATTTTATTCAATAATATCATCAATTAATAAAACTTTTGACACGTGTAATTTAATATACATCAATACCAATTTTGAAAAAAAAAATTAACCTAGACTCCCTCAATTCAAATATTAAATTATTCAAATCCATTGAATTTAAATATTAAATGATATGAATCAACTCAATTCAAATGTTACATGGTTAAATTGGTTTCGCACGGTTACTTTCCCTAGAATCTATCCCAAACAAGACAGAAAATCTCCGTTTAAGGGCCCGTGGAAAACACGGTGTGAAATTTTTTTTTCATGACTTAAACGAGAGCAATGACGGGAAATATGTCTATCGTCTTTATCCTCACACCCTTTATTACTTGTTCTTTATTACTTGAAAAAAAAAATTTCATGACTTATTCGTGAGTTTATTCTAATAATTTGAAGGGTGAAATTTAAATTTTAAAATTTGTTGTTTTATGAATTAAGAAACATTCTTAGAGAATTTAAATAGAGATCACCCATGGGGATTTATCTGTTTCTCGAGGACAATTAACATCTAATTAGAGATTTTATAAAATTAAATAAATAAATAGAGAATAATTTTCTATGGTGAATCGATTATCGCAAATTCTTAGCACGAAATCTTCATCTCAATTCCCATCAAATTTCGTGGAAGATTTGGGATATGGAGAATGAAATGGGGGCGGGAATAGGGATGGGGAAGTCATCCCAATCCTAGTCCCAACTCGGTAACGCTCCTAGTTGGATCTATCGTCTATCAATCACATAATTAAAGATTAGCTTAATAAATTCGTAACCCAAGTATTTAATTTGACTCTAAAACATCCATGAATCCAATCCAACTCAACCATCAAAAAGTGGATCAAGACCTAACTTTTCTTTTTTTCTTTTTTTCAAAAGTAAAATGGAAAATGTGAAATGGACCGCAGACATTGGTCAAGAAAACGAGTTAGATAAGAGCAAAAGCCCCAATAGAAGAAGCCATCAATACCGACAGCCCAAACTCTCCTTTTAAATATAAAAATTAATAAATAGAAACAAAAATAGTGGTTTGACATTTTAGTCCTTCCAATTTCCAGTCTTATATGGACAATTTTGAAGCCATCTGGTCATTTCTTTCCTTCTTACCACTTTGGACAATCTGGTCCATTCAACTTTTTCTCTCTCTCTCTCTTTCTTTTTTTTTTAATTAAAATTTAACGGTACGTGAGTTTGAGATTTGAATCTTTGATATTTTGATCCATGATATATGTTTAGGTTGACATTCATTCAACTTTTTTGTTCACATTGGAGGCCTCGATTACATCATTATAGACTTGTAAAAGTTTATTGTCACATTTGATCGCCTCCAATGACTCAAAAGATTCTCGAGAGTGTTTAAGTTGTTAAAAAATAGTTGTGTTTTATATAAGTGGTTTATTATTTAGTTACAAATAATTAATCTTTCGTCTAGATAAAATAATTTAGGGAGAATATCAAATTTAACCCTGAATAAGCTGTGTCATCTTATATCCTAAAATTTTTCGAGTTCATAAAATTGCATCTTAAACTTTGATAACTTATACGTTAATTAAACTTTAAAAAGCTAATAGATTGCAACACTTAATTGATTTGATTTTGTGCATGGGTGAAATTTAATTTGAGCAAAACTTGATTTTCATTAAATTAGTCCATTTTTATAACCTTTTTACATGAGTTTTTTGATTTAAATTAATGGTTGAATTAACCTAAATTGAAAAATGATAAAAATTAACAATGATATAAATTTATAGTTCAATTTGATAAAATGGAAAAAAATATAAGGTGAAAATTGATACTAACTTACCAATTTATGAGTAAAAGTGATTTTTCTTCCCCAATTTAGAAAACAAAACATCATCATTAAATATAATTTTGGCTCATGCCTACATTTTATTTAATTTACAATTATTATAGTTAGATTTAGATGATAACGGAAAAAAAAATCTAACAAATGCAACCACACTACTCTAAAACATTATATGATACTTTGTTTGGCGAGGACAAAGAAAACTGCTCTATTCTATTTGACTCGTTAGTGTTTACTAAAAATTTGATAAAATTTGATGGCTCTTTATTGTTTTGAAATACCAAAAGAATTTATCATTTTCTGTATTTATCTCTTCTACTTGTAAAAAATTTAATGATGGTCTCGAGATGGGTAGATCTCATCCGAAAACGAGAAATCTCCATTTTCAAAAATTTTGACTACTTCTTACCTATCAAAACTTTCTATTATGTATGGTGTAGACACAATATTTTAGGATCTCAATCTTAATCTAAATTGAGTTATAATCTTATTGCTAGTTACATTAAAGAAGAGAGAGAACATTTAAAGACATTAAATATTTTAAATGTTATATAGTTACAACTGAAGTCATGTCCATTTTCTTCTTTTGCATTTTCAAATCAAAACCTTAGCTACCAAGTTATCAAAATGAAAACTAATTCTAATTCTCAAAGATAATTTTAGAGCTTATTATTATTCTTATCCCTAAAGTCTTTAATGCCTGGTCCTGAAATTTTCATACATACTATATTCTAATTTAGATTAAACAAAAAAAAAAAACCAAACCTCATTTTTTTTCCCTTAAAGCTTATTTCAATTGCTATGTCAATATTTTTTTGTATGTTATTTAGTAGAATTTGGATATGGAACTCGTTTGTTTAAAATCTGTCTATATTAACAAATATTTAAAATCACATATAGAAGATTAAATGAGAAATTAAAAGACAAGAATATATATATATATATATATATATATATATGTAATGTCCAGGAGTTTGTTTAGTATTCAAAACAAAACAGAAAATTTTGAAAACTCGAAAACAAAACAAATAAAGCATGAAAGTTCACAAAATGAAATAAAATTTAAATTTCATTTTGGATGAACTTTCAAATGGTGCATTTTGATCTGTGAATTATTAAAATTATTTCATTATTGTCCCTAAAGTCGAAATGTATTCTATTTAACATGTTATATAAAGATGGAAGGTGAGTATTTGGTATAAATGAATATTAGGTAATAAGAATCAAAATGATAGTTTTAAAAACATTTAGTGTCGTTTTTTGTTTATCGTTTATCGTTTTCAATTTTTGAGAAACATTGTTTATGACTGTTTTTGTTTATGACTTCTCATTTTTTAAAAAAATGTTTTAGAAAATTGTATAACAATTTTAGAAATTTAATTTTTTGTTTCTTGTTCTCATCCCTAATTCTTAATAAATATTTAAAAGTAAATATAACATAAAGATTTGAATATTCATCTAAAAATAAATTTTCATATAAAACTTACCCTTTTGAAAAAAAAAATAATATATATATATATATATATAAAGAACCAGAAATAAGAAAATTCTAATAAAAAATAAAAAATAGTTATGAAAGACGTTTATTTTTTTTTTATTACAAAAAAGCAAAAGCAAAAAATATGGGACGAGAAATATGAAACAAGATACAGAAACATCACCCCACAATATTTACAGATTAGAATAGACGGTACCCAGGTTCAAGAATCAAAAGAGCCGAACCCGACGACTTTCTCTCTCTAAATATTCCAGTTGGGATGAGAGAGAGAGGGCCCACCAGTTCTGCGGAATGGAGAGACTTATTCTCGCGATTATGTTTGTGTGTCTTCTTCTTTACCGACTTCAAAACAAGACCATTCAAATTTCAAACCAAAATCAGAGTTGGAAATTTCTCTACAGAGGGCCACCGCTGCCGGTGCCGACAGCCGTGTCGGCGCCTCCCTCCGCCGGAGCTCCAACCACCACTACATTTAACAATAATTTTTTCTTTGGCAAGCACGTACGTAATATCCAAAACACAGAATTCTTTGAAAAATACCATGCTAGTTTGTAACATTGATAATCATATTCTCCTATTTTTTACCCCTATAAAAAACAAATATATTA